GTGGGAATACTCAATAATATACCGAAGTTTTACATGAGGACTAGTAGGTATAAAATTATACATGGTGACAATTAGGATTATTACATGGTGACCATTAGGTAAAAAATTATACATGGTGACAATTAGGATTATTACATAGTGACCATTGCTGATCATTTAATACATGGTGACCATTACAATTTAAACCTAATGGTCATCCATGTATAACAACGCACCTCCGATCCTAACGCACTAAATTCCGGGGGTCTTGCTCGTTGCCCGTTGCCAACATTCGGGGATATGTCGATCCCCTTAGTTCCGGGAGGAATTAAGGGGAGCCTTTGATCATAACCCAGCCAGTGCGTCCTTACTTTTGATAGCATCTCTACTTTTGATAGCATTACCGTGTTTTTTACAACGTCGTATATCAGATCAGGGTTTTTAATTGAATAAGTTCATTTTTTGATGAGTTTATTTGAGTTGAGAAATCACAAATTTCATAGAAAACAAATGCGTAATTGAAGAGCTGCTGTTTGTTGTTGTGTCTGAGGCATGTAGAAAAAAAGATCTTTCGTTTCAGTTATCGCTTCTCGGACTTTTGGCTAAGATCATCGCTTCTCGGCCTTTTGATCATTCTCATCATGCTGCCAATTTCTCTTTTCACTTTAGCAAGTTGAATTTAGCTTAGACTAAGATACTACTTTCGGTTAAAATTATGTTGCCAATATCAATGCCAATTTCCCAACTTTGTTAAGTCTTCGCTACCGCTGTTACGTTACGTTTGAGAATGTACGTTATCTAGTAATCTCTGAAAGACCGCTGCCATTTTCGCTTCTTAGAATGCATTTAACAAGCTGTTTTTCTTCAGTTATACTATACAGAACTGAGAATAACTCCGCATAATTTATGCTCAGCTGAGAAATAACTTGGATTAAAAAATTGATTTTTTTCAGCTTTCTTGTCTTCGAGTAACACCTTTTGGAACTCAACTTTCAAATACGTTATAAAAAACATCCATGCTCGCCTTTAGCGGTACGATTGCCTGAGTGCCAATTCGCACGATTTGGCTGGCCCCTGAGCTGCAGCGATTGCAATGCAGTGATCAAGGAAGCGTCTTTTAAATGCAATATCAGTCGCCACGCAAAGAAGAGACATTCTATAGATCTGGATAACGTTCTTTATGAAAGCAAAATCTGTAGGAAAGCCTTTCCAGATCAAAGAAAAGCGACAACGCATCAGGCGACCCACTTCAAGGATCCTTTATTTGAAATCGAAACCTACCCATGCAGTTCCTGTAACCGAGGATTTGCCACGCAAAAAGCCTTGAGCAGCCACAACATTCAATGCAAAGTAGCCCGTCCCATTGAACAGGACGGATGCTCTCTATCTTCATCCATGCGAGGATCTCAGCAACCGGTTCCGAGTCCCCCCACCCCCGCAAAAGTCCGACTCGGGGGACCCTTCTTTTACAAATCAAGACTATGAAAGCCCTGATGAAGTCACCCCACCACCGCAAATTACACAATCGGTCGACCCCCGGGCAAAAACCAGCGCTATGAATGCCCCGATGAAGTGGACGAAAACTTCAACGCCGATCAATGGCTAGATTCGCTCATTCCCGCAAAATCCAAGACTTCATGAAAACAGCATCCTATATAGATTACGCTATACACGGCAGAGATCTGAAAAGTGTACAACACCAACATGACTGGGGCATAGAGTACATTGAGGGGCACCAAACAATTCTCTGTAGAGTTAACCCAGAAGATCTGAAGTCTCAACTGACTGTCCAACTTGGCTCAAAACCAGTAACCCCTCACCCCTGTGCAGAACACGTGGAAGCAATGCTGGAGGAATGGAGAAGCACTGTCACGGCCCTTCTCTGAACAAGAAATAAAAGCAACCCTTGATCATGCATCATCTGCTCCTGGCCCCGATGGCTGGACCTACGCTAATTTGGCTCAATTAAAAGGTTTCGTGCCGGCCTTTACGTCCGGATTGCGCCAGTTAGCAGCTTCAGGGGCTACGCCTGATAGGTGGAGGAATTACAGAAACCTACTTCTGTTCAAAAATCCCAACAATTTCCAAGAGGGAATGGACCAGGGAATGGATCAATGATCTGCCAAGGACTATCCTCGTGGCTCGAGGGGAACAATGGCATCTCCCACGCGCAGCGAGCATTTTTTTCAGAAAAGGCATCATGGAGAACACGATCACCGTAGCTGAGTCCTTAGGCTCCAAGAAAGGTGTCCTCAATCTTGACCTTAGCGATGCGTTTAACAGTGTGGAACACTCAACCATTTCCGAGGCTCCACGACAAAGCCAGTGCCCAGAATGGATTATACGAATCATACAGTCCGTTTACTCAGATTGTACCAAACAGTCTACCGACCTATCAGGCAAGACACTCTGTGACCCAGTGAACGTTTCCAGAGGTGTTGTGCAAGGCTGTCCACTCAGCGCTCTGTTATTCAACTTGTTCCTGGATCCAGTTGTCAGTGGAGAGATGACATCTTCTTCCTGCTTGGAGTATATGGACGACTTAGCAGTTGTGTTGTAGAACGCATCCAAAGCACCGGGGATCCAGCAGAAAATAGTTGACTGCGCCCATTCACTGGGTTTCACCTTCAACCCTACCAAATGCGGAGCTGCAAACATCTCCATACCACTCACCATCGGAGACCAATTGGTACCAGTGGTGGCCGAGGAAAGAGCCTACAAGTATCTTGGAACTACCGCATTCAAGTCAATTGTTGCAGGACTCGAGTCCTTTTTCGAGAGAGCTTGGGACTTAGCACAGCTAATAGAAGATTGTCAGCTCTCCCCTATGCAAAAAATACTTGCTCTCAGGACTAAGATTAATCCAATGATATACCATCTGCTAGAGAATTCATATGCCAACCAAAACTAACTCCATAGGATGAACCGATCACTGCGAAAGACGGCAAAACGCATCCTTTGTCAAGCTGAGAAAGCAACTACGGCCTAAATCAATTTGAACCGTTTATACGGAGGACCTGGATTTCCTGATTTGGTCCTAACAAAAGCAAAAATGACACTGAAATTGTTTGTCAATACTTTCAACATCAAAGACACTCTGGGAAGGCTGACCTGGAAATTGCTTCTACATGGATCATCGGATGAAGAGGTGATACGAGCAATAAACCAGAATAAAGAAACTGGACTCTCGGAAAATGCTAAAGAAAATTCTCTTACCCTGCAACGAATACGCAAGTACCTGAAACTGAAAATCAAATTAGAACTGCACAATGACAGGTTGAACATCCAAATTGCAGATATAAACTATCGAAACCCATGGCCAACGCTCCACTCCTTAATCACAAAAAGGAGTCTTGCAAACTTATTAGAGGCTCGAGACCAAGGCCGTTACTGGAGGAGCCTCAGCTCATCGCCAATTGCGACTAAAGCGATATACAGTTACCACACCAAATTTTGCGACTGGCGGTTCGTTCATCGTGCTAGGCGGAACCTCACCCTTTTACGCGGAGCAATCACCTGGTGTAAAAACAAAGACGCGACCTCCCGTCGCTGCCAATTGAATCAAGAAACACTGAATCATGTGATCAATAATTGTCCAGTCAACCGTTAGTCATTAATAAGCAGACACGACGAGGCGCGGAATCTCATTGAAGCAAGTATACCTGCAAATTATACCATCATCAAAGAGCAACGTTTTGGGAATCTGCAGCCCGACGTGATTGTCCAAAATACCGAAAACACTCATCTTCGACATCTCAAAGTTTCAGCACAAGCAACAGAAACCCAAGAACAGCACGAGACTGACATGGCAACCAAATATGAGGCGTTTAGAGACCGGAAACGCCTGTAAAGGAAGTGTTCGACGATGCAAACGATTCCTTTTCGAACGACTGCTCAACTCAAGAAGGAAGAGCAACACCCTTGTGAGAAAATTGGCCCACCAAATAGTCCACCATGCACGGAACCTTGCAGTTGGAAACATCACCGGAAACGCCCAAACTTATAAAATTGAGACCTACAAAAAAAATTATCTTCACCGATGGCTGTTCGCTGTTTCAAACATCCTAAACGTTGATCAACTTCAATATAAACTATCATTTTTAAACTTGCTAAGGTTTCAAACTTTCCCTCTCTACTATTCTCAATGTTCTTGTAAATTAACCCTTGTTCTTGCCTATTTTGGTCCTGAGGAGTTTAATCATTCATCTGTTTTTGTCAGCTTAATATCTGGCATGCTGGGCATTGCCTGGCACCAATATTAAATTGATTTTTGCTTCTCGCGTTTAACAACGAAGCTTGATTAGGTTGACTCATGGATTGTCTCGGTCTTACACTACCATAATGATATGTCTGATTCAGGTCTTATCATGCAATTTCAGGCATGATTTTGTCTGGTCCAGGTATGATCATGTAAAGTCAGGTATGATCATGTCTGCTTCAGGTGTGATCATGTAAAGTTAGGTATGATCATGTCTGGTCAAGGTATGATCATGTCTGGTTCAGCTATGATCATGTCTGGTCCAGGTATGATCATGTAAAGTCAGATCTGAAATATACCTGGGACAGGCCTGATCATACCTGGGGCAGACCTGAAGCAGACAGGCTCATACCTGACTTTTTTCATAGTTATCATATCTGTACATGTTTGATTCAGACATGTACAGCGAAAAAAAAGACATGTCACAGGATTGATAGAGATCTGAAAGTTATATGATTTTTCGATGTCCAGATTTGAATTTATCTAAAAATTTCAGTACGGGTACCATCATAATGTATTTTATCGAAATGTAGCGGACATAAAGTAGCGGACACTCCGCCTTTTCTATAGTTTCAGCACAAGCACGCCCAAACTTATAAAATTGAGACCTAAAAAAAAAATTATCTTCACCGATGGCTGTTCGCTGTTTCAAACATCCTAAACGTTGATCAACTTCAATATAAACTAACATTTTTAAACTTGCTAAGGTTTCAAACTTTCCCTCTCTACTATTCTCAATGTTCTTGTAAATTAACCCTTGTTCTTGCCTATTTTGGTCCTGAGGAGTTTAATCATTCATCTGTTTTTGTCAGCTTAATATCTGGCATGCTGGGCATTGCCTGGCACCAATATTAAATTGATTTTTGCTTCTCGCGTTTAACAACGAAGCTTGATTAGGTTGACTCATGGATTGTCTCGGTCTTACACTACCATAATGATATGTCTGATTCAGGTCTTATCATGCAATTTCAGGCATGATTTTGTCTGGTCCAGGTATGATCATGTAAAGTCAGGTATGATCATGTCTGCTTCAGGTGTGATCATGTAAAGTTAGGTATGATCATGTCTGGTCAAGGTATGATCATGTCTGGTTCAGCTATGATCATGTCTGGTCCAGGTATGATCATGTAAAGTCAGATCTGAAATATACCTGGGACAGGCCTGATCATACCTGGGGCAGACCTGAAGCAGACAGGCTCATACCTGACTTTTTCCATAGTTATCATATCTGTACATGTTTGATTCAGACATGTACAGCGAAAAAAAAGACATGTCACAGGATTGATAGAGATCTGAAAGTTATATGATTTTTCGATGTCCAGATTTGAATTTATCTAAAAATTTCAGTACGGGTACCATCATAATGTATTTTATCGAAATGTAGCGGACATAAAGTAGCGGACACTCCGCCTTTTCTATAAATGTAAACCTCTCACATTAACTAGACAGTTGTTCCTTTTCTTGCTAGATTTTACAATTTTAGAAGAACTAAATCCTCGTTGTTTCGCAAATAGTAGATTATGCTAGTAAAAATTTAAATTTAATCATTTTTACGGTTTTTATATCTACTTCCGGTAGCTGCAACCAGACATGTTTTTGGGGAAAGGGAGACATACAAGAATACATTATATCCGGAGTTCCTGCCCCCAGAACTAAAGTCTTCATATCCCTGCAAGCATACGTGTTATACGAGGGTTTTGAGAAACATACGGGAGACAAAATTGACTTGTGGTTTGGGACCAAGCCAGAAAGAGCTATTGTTACTCTCTCAACGACTACGAACTGGAGTTTTCCTTACCCTGTCTCTGCCCAGGGGAAGAACCGACGGATGGATGGTGACGTAAGCAAAAAAATTGATCAAAATTGTCAAAATTGTTCATTGTAATGGTTTTTTAAGCTTCAGAAATAAGAAAAAAAAATCAACCATTGAGAAATTCAAAAATGGAGGACGCTACCTAAAGTTTGACTTTAACGAGAAAAAAAAAACATTTTACCCAAGCAGGATTTTTTGTTAAAATTGAAAACTGTGGGATTTGAACGTCGTCTCTCCGGTCATTCTTGACAAAAGGTGTTCATTCAACCAACTGTTGGTTAAAAAATTGTAATCCTCCATAAAATTTTGCACCATTTTCTGACCAATACGTTTTTCAGCTCTCTTAGTGTAGGATCTTGTTATGTAACATCGCCGTGCGATTTCGAAGAGACTACTACCAGTCATGAAATTCAAGGATTCACTCCTGGATCTCTACAAGAGATATCGGTTGGTACCCACGTAGCAGTTCCCGTAGCAGCCCAACTAATAAACCAAGCAATCTGTAAACCTGAGAAAACGTTTTTAAAATGTTTTCGGAACAATTTTTTTTAAATGCGGCATAAATAACATTAAAGCCCAACTAATAAGCCAAGCAATCTGTAAATCTGTAAAGAGAAAAAAAAACTATAGGGGTTGTAACAATTTCAATTTCGACCATTCAAAATTTTAATTAATGATTTTTTTGATAAATTCAAAAAAATTGCAGTCAGGAAAAACTTTCCTAAGTTTTATAGTGAGCTCAACTTACTTGAGGAAAATTGGTTACCGCAAGCTACAAGTTTCAAAAAGTTCCTCTAAAAATTTGCTAACTAAGGGTTTCCGCGGAAAGAAGGATACTTCTTTGTGCAAAACTTCTTCAAAAGCCACTTAAATTATCATTCTGTTCAGCGCAATTTTGTGCAAAAAACATCAATGAAAAATTAGGAAAAATTAAAAAGCAGCTATTTACTTTTGCTGTAATTTATTCATGCAACAAAGAATTTAAATTTTTTATTCAGATCAAACATCAGTACAAAAATTTTAAGAAAAAGCCTGCATTATATTTTTGTTTCTATATACTCATTCTATCTGATTGGCGATAATTTTGAGAAATCATTCTATAACCTGTAAAAAATCTTTATATAATCTGTATATAGTCTGTATTTAATCTGTGTACAATCAGTATATTTTTTTAGATACCCGGGTTGACCAAAAATGCTTCTCACATAAATCTCGGGAGTGGTAATTTCTTGTCATACAATTCCATACAATTCCATACGTACAGAAAATTGTTAAAATCTCTTTAAACAATTTTCCCATAAATGGAAATTGTATAACAAACATTTTTGCCACAAATGGATTTTGTATGGCTAAAAACTTGTCTTTTTTTTGAAAATTATATGACAAACAGTTTTCGGAACTTTTTTTTAAATGCGGCATAAATAACATTAAAGCCCAACTAATAAGCCAAGCAATCTGTAAACCTGAGAGAACATTTCTTAAAAGGTTTTCGGAAATTTTTTTTTAAATGCGGCATAAATAACCTTAAAGCCCAACTAATAAGCCAAGCAATCTGTAAATCTGTAAAGAGAAAAAAAACTATAGGGGTTGTAACAATTTCAATTTCGACCATTCAAAATTTTAAATAATGATTTTTTTGATAAATTCAAAAAAATTGCAGTCAGGAAAAACTTTCCTAAGTTTTATAGTGAGCTCAACTTACTTGAGGAAAATTGGTTACCGCAAGCTACAAGTTTCAAAAAGTTCCTCTAAAAATTTGCTAACTAAGGGTTCCCCCCCCCCAGTTTACACCCCTCCCCCCAGTTTACCCTGCCCCTTTAGTTGGGGAGGGGGGATAAAAAGCTTGAGGGGGCGAGGTGACGAAGTTGAGACATGGCATTTAGTAAAAGACAGGGCAAAAATTCTGCAAACTTCTCGCAAAATTTGCAAAAGTTTGCAAAAATAATCGAATTTAGTTCTAAAAATGAAATGGATTATAATCAATTATAATGGATTATAATCGATTTTCATTTCAAAATAATCGATTTTCATTGGCAAAAAACAATGGATTATAATCGATTATAATGGATTATAATGGATTATTTTTGTTCAAAAATAATCGATGATTATGGCTATATAATCGATTTCGTGGTCTGAATTTTACATCCGTTATGGATTATACTCGATTTTTTTGTCTCGGGAATCCATTATAAGCGATTAGAATCCATCGGCGCTCGGTGCGGGAGAGCACTAAACAGACGCCGTTTTCGCCAAATTTTCTGCGCCGCAGGCAAATTTTTTAAAAACAGGTCAAAAAGCTGCGCATTTTCTGGAATATTTTGGCAAAAAAAATTCGCTTTTTGGCGCGCGCTCCCCCTCAAAGTTAGTATATATTGGCGCCCAAGGCGCCTTTAGAAAAAGTTTAGGGTCGGTCGGCAAAAATGGTGGATTTCTTCAAAAGTATCAAAGGGGGATCCTTTGGGTCGGCAGGGGGTCGAATCCCTGAAGGAAAGGCGTCCGCCACCCCACACCCCAAATCCACCCCTGATCTAATTGATCAAAAAAGTTTATCGATACAAAATAATGATTGATATTTTAGGTGAATAACAGTATAAAATAGCTGTTCCGCATAAAAACTTTTCTCCAGTCGTATATTCTGCGCGCTTGTTTGAAATGAATATTCTATATTCTATGCGGAATTAACTTTCAGAATTACTATATGCTTGGGGAGGGCATTCTGCGGTAGGTCACTTAGGGGGGGGGGAATTGTACGGTTGGTCCGAACTTTTTTTAAGCCACGTAGACATACACCCCCCCTATTCATGATTTTTTTTTGTAGCTCCAGATTTCCGCAATGGTATGAGACCATCAACTTCTTTGCCCTCGTTAAATTTTGAAAGAATTCTGAGCCGCATAAATAAATACACTGATTGCGCGTTGCGGAGTAACCTTTTGTTTCCTTGCCGAAGTCGAATGGCTACAATATTGTAAGATCTTAGTTGATTCCCAGCATGGAGCTGCAAATTCAAGCACAAATCTTTCAGAAACTTGTACAATTTTCTCAAATCTTACAGGACGAACATTTTTTGAACAAAATATACAGATAGCCGTCCCAAATTTAGAATTTTATTAGAGATATACTTTTTTCTAAGAAGCTTGGGAGAAAGTTTTAACCGTTTTTTTTTTATTTATTCCCAACATCAAGTATAGTCTTGTAGCACCTGCAGAATGCAATCTTCCAGTCTATGGATAATTGGGGATATCTCAACTTGGAGGAGGCTGAAGTCTTTTTTGAAGCGCCTTTGATCTCAATCACGATTAGATCAATGAATTTAATAATAAAACTAACCACTAGTTGTGCCAAAATTTATATATATCTGCATTGGAGTTTCATGAACAAAAATCTATTTTAATGGAGTTTCCTTGTCAGTGAAGTGAAAAGAAATCGCAATTATAATCAATTAAAAATGGATTATAATATTACTTTTTTCGAGGCAACAAAATCCTTTTTTTCA